CCACAGTGCCCGACATGTGGACGACATCACCGAGGCGAGTGTCGCTTTGGTTAGGATGTGTGCTTTTTATTGTCACGAGGCCGGACACTTCGCGAACCGTTGTCCGAAGAAGGGGCAGCAGCCTCAGCAGGCTCAGCAGCCTCAGCAGCCACCGCAGCAGCAGCAGCCCCGTCAGCAGGCACAGAGGCAGCCCCAGCAGCAGCAGTAGAGGGGCAGACAGCAGGCCAGAGTCTATGCTATCGATCAGGCAGAGGCCGAGCAGCAGCCAGGTACCATGTCCGGAATGGTTATTCTTAATAATGTTCCTGTGTTTGCTTTGTTTGATACCGGAGCAACGCATACTTTCATTTCACGACAATGTCTTGATGCCATCGGAGTTCGCGCTGCTACTGCTATCGATCCTCTCGAGGTGAGTTTGGCCTCGGGACGAAAGATAGTAACTTCAACTAAAGCCTCAGATCTCAGCCTTTCCATCGGTGGCCGAGTTTTGCCTACCGACGCGTTTGTTCTCGAGATGAAGGACTTCGACCTGATTCTCGGAATGGATTGGCTATCCCTTTATCATGCAGATATCAAATGTCGCGATCGGGAGATTACTCTTTATCTTCCGAGAGACGAGTCGATCACTTTCTTCAGCTCCAGAAACCGTTCTTTGCCTCATGTTGTTTCGATGGCGAAAGCCACTAAGTTGCTGAGACGAGGCAACCACCAGGGTTATCTGGTGAGCCTTGTTCACGATTCCCAGAAAGCACGTTCACCTCACGATGTTCCAGTCGTTCGAGAGTTTGTGGACGTATTCCCAGACGAGCTTCCTGGAGGACCGCCTAATCGGCAGGTGGAGTTCTCTATAGACCTTATTCCAGGGGCCGGTCGAGTATCCAAAGCCCCGTACCGTATGGCGCCTAAGGAGTTGCAGGAGCTTAAGGCGCAGATTCAGGAGCTGTTACGACTCGGTTTCATCCGACCGAGCGTGTCACCTTGTGGAGCACCCGTTCTCTTTGTTAAGAAGAAGGACGGATCCATGCGCATGTGTATCGACTACCGGGAGCTTAACCGGTTGACAATCAAGAATAAGTACCCGCTTCCCAGGATCAACGACTTATTTGATCAGTTGAGGGGAGCCAGTGTGTTCTCAAAGATTGATTTGCGATCAGGCTACCACCAGCTGAAGATTAAGGA